AAATTAGTAGTCAACAGAAGTACTCCCCCCTATTAAAAAAAAAACAGCCAATTAAGACATGATTTAAAAGATAGAAACAAAACCTTGAAAAGGAGAAAAAAAATAAGAACAAAAACCTGCCTAGTGCAAAAGGCATACTTTAAGAAGGAAACCAGTAGTAGTGAGAAGTCTTAGAATTGACAAGTAATTTGAAATGTAATTTGAAAAATAAAGAGAACTCATAAACAACAGAGACAATATGACAACCATAGAAGAAATTCCATATAGTGGTGGGGAACAGAATGAAGGTTGCAGTAAATTAAGAGGATAGCAAGAATAAGTAGTCATGAGACAAAATGCTCTTTTAAGAAGCTTCACATAGAGAGCTGCAATATTAGAGTGAAGAAAAAGAGATTTTAATTTATAATAACAGACACTGAGAGAAAAGACCTAGAATTAAAGATGAGAAAGGAGTTAAATGATATGAGATAAATAATGAAGTAAGGTACTAGAAAAGGCTGCAGGTCAGAAGATATAAATCCCAAAGAAAGTATTTGTCTCCAACCCTCCCTGGTGGTGAAGGGGTTAAGTCTCAGCACTATCAACTGTCACTACAACAGGAGTTCCATCCCAGGCCAGGGAGCAGACCCACTTGTCAAGCAGAGTCTCCTGTCTCACCTATGCTTCCCATAGCAGTGTGTTTCAGTCAGTCTGTCTGTTTTGCTTCCCACTCTGGTGAATCCTTTCATCTCTTCCCCCCCACCCCACACTGCTGGCCTAAACCTCAGTTCTTATATGCATGAGTAAATAAAATAAATATTTACGAAAACATTTGTCTCTGTTGGAAGAAGGAACAAATTCCCTGGGAGTCAATGTAAGGATTTAAGGTAAGAATGAATATTAATAGTTGGACATTAAGAGGTTTCTAGTGTTAGTACAACATTATTTTATACTATTAGCTTCTCTTTGGTATGTCCTAATAATTTACATTTTGTATAGCTTAATTAGATTGCCTAGGACCTTATATTGTTTCTAGATAGAATGAATCATTAAATTTGTATTCAGTGAACTCAGTAAAACCTTACCTTTTTGCTAAAACAAATTCTCAGAAGAGTAGTGGTCCTTCATAAAGTATCACTAGAATTATAGTATCTCAAAAATTGTCCTGTCTGTGCCAGGGTATCTGATTTTTACAGAACCTGAACTGACATGTAAATCTAGGGAAATATAGGAACTGAGTTGACATCAGGAGATTGGAAGGTGTATGTGTGTGTGTGTGTTTTAACTTTATTGAGGTAACATTGATTTAAAATAATATGCATGTTTTTAAACTATTGCTTTACATCTCTTCAAATGTGTGTGATCACACCATGGTCACCACAATAATCTTCCACCACCACCCAAAAGACCCACGAGCCTTGGCTCCACCCACCCTTCTTGCTCTCTATTTTCATTTCTGCTGTCAGAATTCAAGTGTTTGTTTAAGCTGTTTTTTTTTCTCTCTTATATTCCACACATGGATAAAATAATCTGTTATTTTTCTCACACTTTCTGACAAGTTTTGCTTATCCTAATCCCCATCCAGTTTACCCACATTCTCACAAGTAGCAAGATTTCACTCTTTTTAAAAAAATAGCTATTTTTCCATTGTTTCACTAATATGATGATCTGTACTATTAACTATTGCTATGAGTTTAGTTTAGCTTTTGCTTGTGGAAAGGTGGTTTTACATAACATTGTATTTTTTCTTTTAATTTAACAATTAGGTCTGGTTGAAATTAGGATTGCAAGCATTTCAATTTGTATCAGGTTCACATTTGAAAAAGAGAAGATCACAAGATGTTTTCTAGTAGAATACAATTTAATTTGTTCATCTCCATTGTATTGTATTATAAACATATAAAAACACAAGCAGTTCCTTCTCATGTTGATGTAGAAAGGATAAGAAATAGACCATAGATTTATATTATAAATGAATTATAGTAAATTGTGTAGATGGGTGGATTACACATTTAAAAAACAGTTTTAGTGGATGGGAATTAACTCCAATTTTGCATCTCAAATAAAGGCTTTCAAAGTAATAAGTCTATATAGAATAGGTTATATTTGGAGGATTTTAATATCTTATGTACCAATAACATATACTATTGTTGGCTATTCTCTCCCAACATATATTAAGTTTACCATCAAGTAAGGATCATTAGTATTACATCTGTGGTCTTTATTACTTGTCTGTCTTCTATCTGGGTGTTCTCACTCATCAGGAAGTGAGGTTGTTGAAGGTCTTTGAAATATGTTTCATTAACTTTCATCTTCTTGTTATTCATATATAAATTCAAACATTGAATGGGTATCTTTTTAAATATCTCAACAAAATATATAGTATTTAAAAATTGCACTAGGATCCTTTGCATAACACTTAGTGGTCTTCCTATATTTCATGCTTTAATGAAGGATACAAGCATTACGAAACACTTTAGTTGGGAAGGAATCATAATTTCACTATTCAGGGTAAATAACAAATTCAACACTGTTATATATCATTCTATCATTCTAGGTTTAACTTTTTGCATGACATTGTTTTTCAGTAGCTGTGCAGGTACCATTTTTAATTTTTCAAAAAGAACATGAACAGTTTAGTTTTTTTTTTCTTCCTATGTTATTAGTGATTCGAATTTCTACAAAAGGTGTTTATTTCATCCAAGCCTTAAACATGATTGCCATATAGTTGTTTTAAAAAGCTAAAATTTAATATATATACACATATACATATATATATATCATCTACATACATATATATAATCTACATATTTGCTCCATTTATTCCCACTTAAAAAAAACTATATTCCTTGTGGTTGAAGAAACTTTTATTGCATCCGATGTTATCTTTGTATTTTCTGCTTTGTTTCACTAATTGGTGATGTCATCAAATTCTCTCTGTAATTCTTTGAATTTACTTTGCTTTTTCCTAATTAGTTTTAATATCATATTTTCTATTTTATGTGATTGACAGTTTATAGCCTCTATTGCATATATTAGCCACATTTCACTTCATTTGATTGGTAATGTTTTGTCATAGTTATTTTTATGTGTCATCATAGCTAGGTGAAGGGATGCTAAGGTGATAAAATATCATGGCTTGGTATTTCTTTGGGGGTGTTTTAGAAGGAGGTTTATCTTTGACTTGATGGATTGAGTAAATAATATCTTTGCTCACCAATGTGAGTGGGGATTATCTAGTCTATTAAGGGTTCAATAGAACAAAAGGAGGTAAAGCATATTTTCTTTTCTCTAGTTTCTTGAACTAGAACATGCATCTTTTCCAATCCTAAGATATAAGAAATCCTTACTGTGCTTTTGAACTTTTAGATGACTTCAACCAGTGCATTTTCCTAATTCTTGGTCTTTGTTATCTGATTTTCCTAGTTCTCCAGCTTTTAAATATACATCATAGTATAGCTCAGCCTCCATAACAGTGTGAGCCATTGCCTATAATAAATCTACTCCTCCTAGTATCCTATTGTTTCTGCTTCTCTGAAGAGCCATAATTTACATTTTGATACTCAGGGTCATTCTAGAGGAATAGAATTTTAAGATTGCTATTATCTTTTTGAGTTGTTTTTAGGGTTTCTAAAACCCTAGCTCTCCAGTCAAATTATATTTAAATATGCTAATGACTCCACTGTCATTAGTACAGTAAAACACTGGTAATCTATGCTATCCTTTTTACAGGGATACAGAAAATATATGTACTGGATAACCCTTATCAGTCACTTCAAAGAAGCAAGAAAGTAGGTGATTCTGTATGATACTTTCAAATATTTTTTGAAAACTGAGAAACATGCTGAGTTAATAGGTTGCTACTAATAAACTATCAATGTTATTACTGGACAAATTGGTGAAAGAAAAGAATGAACACAGATCTTCATTCCACTCTTCCCACTCTTGACCTTGTATCCATTATCTTAGAGCTTTTAGGTGTTGCCTGAGAGTTCTCTAGTGGGAGGGCTGAAATTGTTGAATATAAACACAAGACTTATCCTGTTATTGGATGAATTACAAAGCAAGTTGAATTCCTAGTCTTGTAAAATGTCCACTGTTAAATTGAGAACATTAAAAGGGAATGATTGAGATTCTTTAAATTGGGATGGGACAGTGTGGAAGGAAACAGAGAGCTGGAAATACTGAGCTAAATTCTTACAGGCCTTTTCTGTCATTAAAAGAGATCTCCCATAAAAGAAATCTGCTCAGCCCACACAGAGATGAAGAAGTTCAGAAAACATAATTTTAAGTTACTTCCTGAGAAAAAAAATTTTTGAGTTCCAGCATCCTTGAAGAGCTCTGGGATCACTTGAGCTAACTAAGCTTTACAATGGGAACCCATGGAAATAATATTTCTCCCAAGCTTATTCTGAGAATTGAGTTAATAGATATAAAGCTCTAATTATGGTATATTAAACAAAATATGTGTGTTACAACAACTAAAATAATCAGAAATTAATATCCAGTTCATTCTTGGAACATATATTTAGAAAAAAAATGTTTGTGCAACTAGTCAGGATTCATATTTTGCAGCTTTTGGTTTCAAATGCAAATGGGCTGTCATATCCTGAATACTGTTAGGTGTTACCAAGGAAAATTATCCACATTGGATCTAATGATAAGTATGAAAAGGGTAACCAAAAGAGAAGATAGAAATAAAAAGCAGTCTTAGGAATTTAAAAGTTACTCTAATTAGTCATTAATGAGAGTTACCAACCATGAATTCTTTATTATCATGCAGTGTATCATCTTTGTGCACTATGATACATCAGTGTTACTTTTTATAAGCTCTGGGTAAATCTGTTGCCTTCTGATTGCTTCTTTAGCATCAGGATATCAATAAGGATCTAAGTTTCATTTCAGTTTTAAAATACTCTGACTTTATGATCACAAAAGAGCTGATTTCTCTCTTTTTTTTTTTTTTTACTCTGAGTCAACAGTTAAGAGAATCATGAAAGATGTCCTGTCTGTGTCTATTTTTATTCGATGGTTTCGAATTCTTTGCTCTCCTTCCTCTCATCTGTTATTCCCATTAATTCTTCAAGTTTCTTCTCCAAATATTTTTTTAGTGACCGTCGTATTGCCTTCATTTTCCTCCGATGAGTGACACAAATATGGAATCTGGAATAAATAAATAGTCCCAAATTCAATATTAACAGTCTTTTTTCTTAAAACAATACCAACATTTCCTCTTCATTTTCTGAATACCTCTGCCAAAGTTTTCTCCACACCGAATAATATCTTTATTTCCTTATATTTCCACTTGTGGACAAAACTCTTCATTTTTATCCTGTCCATATCATATCCTAGGATTGCAAATGACTAATTTGTCCTTATTTCCACTGAGTGGAAAGGAAAGATTGAGCATTCTTTACCATAAAAAATGCTTGACCCACCCTATGGTTTTGGAGGGAAAAAACTCACAGTAACCAGGCACTTCCCAATATTACAGCTCCTGCTAGGAATATCAAAAATAGTGCAATCTCTCGAGCCTCAGCCAACTTTACATCCTCTTCTGAAAGAAGAAAGAAAGTAAAAAGAATATAAATTGGGGAGAAGAAAAAGAATGACTTGAGGAATTTATCCCCCCCCCAAAAAAAACACAACTTTCCAACTATAAGCAATGTGCTATGTTTACAACACCCATCACTGTTCTCTGATTATTCTGATCTTTATTACTTTTTGATCCCCAGATTCTACAAAGCTTCAGCTTTTACTCCCCTTAACCTGATATTTTCCTCTCTATTCAGTCCTTTCATTTCTCAGTGCTTCAATTAACTCGGTTAGAAGTAGTTTATATTGCTACAAATTTGGCTCAACATTTTAGGTTTTAATTTTGTGTAACATTAGCAGTCATTCAGCACACACACATACACATACATATATTATGTATGTATTTTAAATATTTATTTATTCATACAGAATTGGAGTACTAGCTAGAGATGCAGAGGCAGTGAGAGGATTCACCAGAGAGATAGTGGGGGGAAAGGCAGATTGACAAATTACACTGCTGAGGGGAGCAGTGGGTGAGTCAGGAGAGGTCTGTCACGCCATGTGGGTCTCCTCTGGGGTGGGGATCGAGCTCACGCTGAAGTGGCTTTAGCTTCTTAGTGCTGTGCTTTAAGCCGCTGCACCACCAGGGAGGGCCCAGCATCTATATTTTTGAGAAAACAGTTTCTTGAACCCTGACCCTCAAAATGCCATATCACAATCTTTGTTACCTCCACAATAATCTCCTTTGAAGCATTTGGTGGTGATGCGGAGACAGGTCCAACAGTCCAGGATAGGACCTTCAGTCACAACTGATAAAGACAAGGTAATTGAAAATTATTTATAGCCTAGAGTTTCCTTAATCCTGACATCAAATGGCATTTCTAGGACTCTTAAGGTTACATTTCTAGGAATTCTTCCTCATTCAGGCAATCAAGTGCCTTAATGGATCAAAACCTTCTGTAATTTAAGTCTTTTCTATGGAAGAAGTGAGAAAAATGATCCCTTATCTAATGTGGATGATATGGACTGTAAACTATATTCTTGATAATACCGCTGACACCTCAAACATCTGGTGCATCAAATTTCCTAAATTGTATTTTGTTGTCATGTATCACTAGTAGTCCCCCTTGTAACCACAATTTTAGGAATTCAGTTTTCAGTGTAGGTAGGTAGGATAGGTAGTGTACTATAGGGCAGAGAAGATGAAAAAATTTGGGATGAACCTCAATTTGTCACATTTCTGTACTCACCACAATCTTCAGAACAAGCTAAAAGAGAATCAGAAAGTTCTAATGAGCTTATTCAACTTAGAGTTTACCTTACTTATAACCAGTATCTTTATTTACCCATAAACTTCCAGCAACCCCTTCACCCATTCTAACTCATTCTACAATGCATGAGATACAATCCTCCTCTCACACTATAGTTCCTATTCCTTTCACATAATTTCAATTTTATTAGACCTATTTTATTACCAATGTCAGAGAAGTTCTTTAATACTTCTTTCAGGTTGGATTCCAGGTTTTGGCGGACATTGAGGAGCTTGCCTTGAAGGATAAAGGTACCTAAGAAAGGTGGAAGGAGCATAAGAATATAGGGGTGACTCTTCCCTTCAGAAGTCAATCTTAGTTTTTCCTGGTTTGCCCCTTCCAACTTTCCTCAGACCTGTGTAGCAATACCATCTTTGAGTATTGAAATAGGATGTCACTCACCTTTCCATGTTTCATTGCTCAATCTAGAGAGTTCATTCTTCAGGAATATTCTCAAGTTAACAACCTGTTGAACAGCTAGACAGAAGGAATATAAAGGTACAAGTTGAAAAATTACTGTACCTATGTAGGAAATGACATGGACCCAGTTACTCTCACTTCCCTGCATCCCTTCTACCTTTAACCCCCACATCTCCCCCTCAAAAACAAAAACAAAACTTCTCAAGGACTTCAGCTTCCCTCACCCAACACCCGAAGCATCTTGCGCCTGTGGGAGACCTTGGAGCTTAAATGGATCAATTTGTTACTCTGCCGATCAAGGAAATGAGTTCTTCCAGGGACTTCTGTGGGTACAATATTTGCCAGCAAGGACCTTATATCTTCTTTGAATTTGGGGTCACATTCCAAGCATCCTTTGACCCCATGAAAGATTGCCAGGGACAGGGACAGGAGCAGGAGCAACCACAGGTCTCCCATTTCCTTGCCCCAGTCACCCTCTCCCCAACAGCAGGTTGTCTTGGCAACTAGTTCACCTAGTTCCCTTTCCTTGAATAATTCAGCAATGAGAGACTTGTGCTGGATAGTTGGACTTCACTCTCCCCTCTGTTTCCATTCCTCGTCTAGTCAGTCTCATTTCCATAAAAATCTTCAGATGTTTTCTGATTTTTATCCTTCATTCTAGAGAGAGGGAACTGCCAGCTAGGGAGAAGATCCCTGAATTCTGAGTTAGAACACACAGAGTGAAATCTTGAGCTCACACAAGCAAAGTTCCATGCTGGGAGGTAACTCAGAGTATTTCTTTCACTCTCTCCCTTTCTTGTGTCCTTAGCAAATCCCCAAAGCTCTCTTGGCCATTGCAAAAGTGTATCAGCAGAGATGGATGGTGGAAGAGAACTCATAGGACCTTAGAGACTGCTCAGTCTAAAATCTGCTTCTACAGAATAGGTAACAAAACACCAGGATATTGAGGTTCTTGGGGTCCCAGCCCTGATGGTAGAGTATTATTGAGAACTAGCAATAGGTATCTAGATGTAATTAATAAAAATTACATCAAAAATATTATTTAGAAATTTATAGTATGTTTGTGTATAGATGACTTCTCTACTTATGCTATATAAACTTTTTATGTCCTTCATAAAGAGAATCTGTGGCAGAAGAATAGAAATATGAATTGAAGAACATATGTTGATAAATGGGAATCCAGTAATGCTCAGGGTCCTTAACCAAGAATATCTTGATGATAAAGTGTGTAATGTACAAGAAAATAGCAGTTATCACAGGCTATTCTCTCAAGCCACCTATAAGGAAGATGGCCAGTTTAAGGTCCTTAGGATAAGAATGTTCTTTGTTACTTGAAAAATACTTAGAATGCTTTTAGAGTACCTGTTATCTCTTTTATTATATGTTGCTTCTGTGATTTTGACTTCCTAGAAACCAGGAGAGTCTAGGATTCTAAGAGGTGAGCAATAGACTTAGTCTAAGGGATCTGAGAACCATGTATAGAAGGTTATGGGAAGAATTCAAAACTACTACTAATTCCATGTCTGCCATGTGTCAGATATTTTGCTAAACATTTCAAATAGATTATCATAATACTTTGAGAGATTATCATCATTTTACAGAAAACAGAGACTCAGAGATATAAACAATGCTTTCTACAATATAACTAAGTAGTTATGGAATCAGTATTCAAATATATGTCTCTCTATGTATTTCAACCACTGCCTCTCTGCAATCATATTCATGGATAATGCAGAAAACATTCTTTTGAAATTTGATAAATCAGGAATTTGGTGTGGTCAGTTAAAATTGTTTGATGCTCCAAAATCAGCACTCTCTTCTCTGATTTTATATTCCTTTGGCTACATAAGCTCATGTTTAGAGGATCTCCAAAGGATTTTCACATACCGAGGTCTGAAGGCACATGAGGATTAAATTCACTTTGAGAAGTAAAATTGGAGATTAAAGGGGCTAAGTAACTCGCCAACAGGTGGCCAGGTAATTTTTTTATTCCAAGAGAAAATATATATAATGGAATCTGGGAGACAGAGAATAATGGCAACTTTGGAGGCTATAGGAAGACCCTGGGGGAAACAAAAAAGACCATGGATACTGATTTTGCTACCACATGATTGCAGTATGTTGGACTCAGACAAAGGTCATTGATCAAGAGAGTGGCACCTTCATGTTGAAAACCAACGACATGTTTAGTGACTATGATTTGGATTTCATAGTTGGAGTGGAGCTTCCCAGTATAGAAATGGTCTGAGCAGCCATTGTGGTAAGTTTCTGATCACCTGGGAAAGGAATATTCTTCTGTGTGTGCAAAGCGGTTAGAGTGGGCAGTGTGACTGAAGGTAGTGTAGTGGGCTAAGTCTAGGGGCAAACTGCACCTGCAGCAGATATGTGGCAGTGAGGTAGACCATCCCATTTTCCAAAAGGGAGGCCACTGTCCCATGTGTTTCACACTTCCCGAGTGTTCCCTGCCATCTTTGGGAAGCTGCCACATGAACACTTCTGACAGCCCAATAAGTCACTTGGATGGATTTTAGTCAGAATGAATGTGTAATCAACATATTCTTCATTCTTTGAAACCTAGCATTAAAAAGAGAGATAGAAAATGTATATTATATATATTTTCTGGTTATTAGTAGATACTTTTGTTTTTAAACTGGATAGTTAAATAGGACATGCTGTCATATTACTAAGTAATTCTACCTCATTCTGTGGCTCTGATCTATAGCCCAAAACCAATTTATCCTCATTTCACCCTTCCAGCTTAATTTGCAATTTGAAATTTGTAGGATGAGGGGAAAAATAATTTGGCTTTTGGGTAGTCTTAGGGTTATCTGAAATAGCAAGCCATTTTTTAAAAAGATGATGGGGGTTGAGTTTGGAGAGGGAATATAAAAGGGAAAATAGTGGAAGCAATACTACTGGCATGGAATAAACTACACTCGGTAACAATAGACTGTACTGAAAGTAAAGGCAGAGAGAGGTGCACACAGGAGTCTAAGGGGAGACAGAACAGCATTAAGTCTGGAGGAATTTCTTGCAGAAAGGCTGGATCCAGGAGTCTGGAAACACAAATTAATGAAAATATGGTGACAAGTAAGAACCCAGTAATGTTCAGGAGTTTGGTAGAATTTTCCTGAAAGAACTCATGATAAAAATAACCACAGTTATCATGGGTAGTTCTTTAAACTTCATAAGTGTAAAATATTTCAACATTACTTAATGTATCTAGAGGCAAAAGGCTAACATACAAATCCTAGGTTGAATGTATTAGTATTTGATTTGGCCTGACATGGAGGGAATATGACATATGGTCATAAATTATAGAATTGTAGAATTAAAAATAGTAAAACTTATTATTACATGATAGCATATGCATTCTTAATATTATACAATTTTTTGATCATTTGTTCTCACACAGGTGAGTGTTGTGTATGTTTTTGCCCTATAACACTATTAGAAAGTCCCTCTTCTAGGTACTAATAAATTCATTGTTTCAAAGCATTTGGCTGTTAGAAATCATAATGCAATGAATTTTAAAATTGAACAAGTTTCATCACCAACAGCAAGAAGCTTTGGAGTAATTTTTACTCAATCCTTCATAGATTTGGCTTCCAGATCTAAAAAAAGAAAAAAAAATGAATCTCTGATTCAAGTTTTTTATTGCCTCTTTTCTGATGCATTATAGGTCTGAGCCATGGTATATTGCTTCCCCTACTTGTCACTTCACAGAAAACCCTAGAAGTTTGCCAAGCCATCTACTCTTAGGTCTAACAGTTACCTTCTTCCAGATAGTCATCTGAGAGTAGGTAACCATTCATTGGTATTTGACCATTATATATTATCTATCTAGGCAACACAGTAATTATAAATCATTATTATGTTAGATAGTCAAATGAAAAATATTTTCTTTATGCCTCTCCATTTATTTTCTCTTGTTACCAGTTTTTCTCCTCATAGTGTTCTCATGTTCTTGGGGAATCATAAAGTTGGATCCTTGAAGACTTTGTTTTCTTAATAGATAAAATTCCTTCAAGCTGATTCCATTAGGAGGGAAATTGGAAAGAACAAGAGGAGAGGAGTAATAGAGGATAAAGTTGTGTATCATAACCTCTTCTGTTGAAGTGAGGGTCCCAAAAGAGAGGACATACTAGTTTATATGAAACACTGAGAGAAGAGTGAGCTTTTGCCCTGCAGCCTGTAGGGGTTCCCAAGTTACTCCATTTACCAGTGCTTAGGTAACTGTATTAGAGAAATAGTATTAGCATGGGAGGGTTGGCTAATAGTGGGTGTGGAAAGACCAATGCATTGCCACTGGCTGCCAGCTGAGGGTTCTCAAGTGGGAAACCTGCTGGGGTATGTGGCTAAGGTTTGGTAAAGGAGAACTTTGAGAGCTTGAGGGCAAGTCACTAAGTTACCACCAAAAGAAAAGCAGTTTGCAGCAAGCCAGGGAGGCTTGATGGAACCAAATTCTCTGTAAAAGCCATCAGACCCTGAGGAAATAGAAAACTGGCCCCAAAGTGTTATACACACAGGGTTTCCCGGCATACACCACCAAAAGCATCCGAAATGGGGTATTGCAATCTCACCTTAGAAGATAACATCCATTGTCAAGGAGTTAAACAAGTATCCTTAAAGTTAAAAATAAGTTATTATGCACGGGTTTGTATTGATGCCTCAGGTAACACCACATGGATACAGAGATGGAGTCATGGAGAATGCTGCATAATTCAAGATGCTGCCCAAGAGCAAGAGCCTGGCCTTTTTGTTGATAAACCATTCATACAGCATTAGTCATATAGGGAAGCAGAAAAGGAGAGGGGCAAGTAGAAAAAGCAGGGGAAGGGTGAAACTGAATTTCTCATTTGCTGATAGCTTGTAGATTAAGGTATGTAGATTAAGTCCTGAACACATTAATCTAGTTTTCCTTAAATAAATACTAGGCAAATATGTCATTATTCCTTTCCTCTCTGCAAAGAAATTTCAGATACAATACACAATAGCCAACAACAAGAAGTAATATCATTGATCACACAGTCTGTAGGAAACAATATTTTGTAGCACCTACTAGCATTATCTTATACAATCCTTATTGCCAAGATAGTGATAGTATCATTTCCATTTACAAATGATATTTGAGATAGAGGAGTTGATATAATATATTCATGACAGAAACAGCTTTTTGGTTGTAGAGCTTGCTTTCTTAGTCTTGTTTTCATTTTGCACTTTTAATTTTTTAAAAAGATTTTTATTTATACACACAGAATTGGGGTATAGGCCAGAGGTGCAGGGGTGGTGAGAGGACACAGAGAGACAGAGTAGGGAACAGAACAGGCCGACTGACAAAGTACACTGTTGAGGGGAGCAGCGGGCTGGTCAGGAGAGTTCACTGAGCCATGTGGATTGCCTTTGGGGTGGGGATCAAACGTATGCTGAAGTGGCTTTAGCTTCTTAGTGCTGTG